TTGATATATACATAACTCAGAGGGTAGTCTCGTATGTCTGTAAAAACAATGAGAGTTGATACATTCAAAACTCAGAGGGTAGTCTCGTATGTCTGTAAAAACAATGAGAGTTGATATATACAAAACTCAGAGGGTAGTCTCGTATGTCTGTAAAAACAATGAGAGTTGATATATACAAAACATTGACAACTAAAATGAACCACAATTTAATAATGACAAATGTAAAACTAAATAAAATTTCGCCCATCTAAAATGTGTACATTATGTATCAACAGGAAGTGGAAACTTTATGCACCATATAGCTAAGCATTTTATTTATATCTGCAAATGTTGAAAAAATTCCATATTTCCAGCATCTTAAACCTTTTGTTCAAACTATTCAGAAGACTCAATATGTTATTGCAAACAAAAAAGGGAAATCAAATGAAAATATTAAGAAATGGGGTAAATTAAGAGTATTTCATATGATTGTTAAGTATAACTGAAATGATCGAGATCTGTTAGGATTTCTTTTATTACACTAAAAAGACAGACTTATGTGGCTTATGTCTTAATCCCATGTGTTCATTACACTTTGCGTTTATATTTGTGATAAGATTAAATCAATGTTATCCAATGTTTACTCAGTAAACAAGTGATGTTTCCTAAACTTTTCCAAAAAATATACATCGCAGTATGATTAATTTCGTCGATTAGAATGTCAAAGATGAGTATTACCCAGGCGAATTACCATGATACAAAAAATAATTGTTTCAAATAGGTTCCTAGACAAGTATAAAGAAGACGAGAAATTAATTTTATGCAAATTTGCTATATTCAAGCATTTAATTTTTGTGCAATACTTTAATAGAAGTCTGACAGACAAAGGATCAATTGAACAGTTAAATTTGTTCACAGAAGATTCTCATCTAGCATATCAATAACTGTACTTATCGCATTATTTGATGAACTTATTAAAACGATAGAAATAAGTAGAATAAAAATAAATTGTATACAATATACGGGATGTCTGCAACTTCAGTATGTTTTTCGTGCATTTGTTTGAGTGAAAAAACTTAAAAAGGCCTATTTTTGAAAAAAAAACATGCACACACTTTACTAGTTTGTGAAAAAAATAAAGCATTTTCACACAATTCAAACACAGAGCTAACTAAAAATAAATAACATGTAGGTAGTCAAATTCCATCTTCACTGTGAAATACAGGTTTGAATATAATCGCCCACAGACCTGGGTCTCATCCTTAAACCTTGGCTCTGGGTGTATAAAAGGAAAGATGGCCGCCAGTTTTCAGTATGCAAATGACACTCAGGCGTGAAACATCGCTTCAGGGTGCTCCACAAAACTATCTTTTCAACAATCTGAATGTTGAAACGATGTCAATGTGATTTCCACGTAAAAGCAACTAGAAAGTATGATTAAAACAGTGTTTTTGACTGCTCAAAATGAATGTCAGTCATAGGTTTATGCAAATGCATGGTGTTAATTCTGAGTTCTTTGTTCAATCTTTAGGTATGTTTATATGTTTATGCACGGGGAAGGTACTAACGTTAGTAGCTTCCATAGTTTATGTAATTATGGAGCTGATGATGTAAGTGATAATAAGAAATGATATTCCGTGTGCTGTTTTTCCAAAGACTTCAAGGGAGTTGTCGGCGCTCCACGAAGACATTACATTTCCCATGATGCACTGGTGCACCCCTCCCCCCTTGCGGAGGCGCAATTTAAAATGTATAATGATAATGAAAAACAATAATACTGGTTTACTAATTTCAGTGGCTAATTTCATTAAAGGCAATATGTTTTTGAATTTGAATTATTCTCGTCAAATGCCAGATCATTGTTGTCCTGGATTTTTATTGTCCTTGTTTATGTATAACCAATTTAATTATTTCCGAGGAATTTTATGTGTTTCAATAAACATAAACGTAATATACCGGTAGTTCTTTTTTTGCACAAACTTTGATTTTTCAATTTTGACAGTTTTGAGTTGTTGGCCTAGTCTAACGACAAAAGTAAAACACAATAGATGTTTGATAGGCTGCAAAGTCGCATGAAACAGAGAGAGAAAGACTCAAAAATAGACTACAAATTTTCCCCTCCTCAAAAATAATTAGAAATTGAGAGCATTATTTTCTGCAATTTATTATCATCTTGTATCATTATGGCATAGCACATACTTGCATAACCCCATCCTGTATCTTTATGGCATAGCACATACTTGCATAACCCCATCTTAGAAATCCTTACAGTTTTTTGTTGAATGTGATTTTTCATTCTATTTGTTATGTAAGCATAGAATTTTGTGTTTATAAAGTGTGTTGCCTTAATTTTCCACATCATAGTACTTTATACCATTTTATTACACAGCAGGTTAACTAACTATCTGTATGAAAACAATCAAAGCAGGGATAAGAAAAATCATAGGACAACAGATAACATCTATATTTTGAGATCCTTGATTACAAAATATGTAAACAACAAGTGTAAAAAGACAGAAAATTATTTTATTTTCATGCTTTATTGACTTCTCCAAAGCCTTTGACTCGGTTTGGCGTGAGGGCTTACTATATAAACTTCTGCATTTAGGCATTGGGGAGAACTTCTATAATTCAATTAAGTCAATCTATAAAAATACACACTATATCATAAAAATGAATAGGGGAATTACACCATACTTTGATTCTAATAAAGGTGTGAAGCAAGGCTGCAACTTAAGTCTCCAGTTGTTTAATATTTATGTCAATGGTATTTGTGATGTTGTTAACAATTTTGACCCAGTGGACCTGAATGGTGTGAAATTTAACTGTATTTTATATGCAGATGGTCTTCTGTTGATATCTACTAGTCATGATGGTCTACAGAAGGGCATTGATACCATTCAAAATTACTGTCAGAAATGGAAATTAAAGGTTAACATAAACAAATCTATCTAATGAAACACAACTGGAATGTGTGAATTTTTATAACTACCGGTCCCATGGCATCACTTTTCAATCAAATGGGAAATGTAGTGCAGCCACAGCAAGGTTGTATGAAAAAGCTCACAAAGCATCATTTAAAATGTATAAAATGCTTTGGGATTCAAATGAATGTCATTCAGTGAGTCTAGCCTGTAAACTGTTTGATTCTATTATTAAACCAGTTATTCTTTATGGGTCAGAAGTCTGGGGTAGTTTTCTAACTAATCTATTTAGTGGAACTGGCAATAGCAAATCAGAGATTGATAATACTGTTTTTGTATCAAAGCTATTCTCTGACAAAATATTACCAGAAAAACTTCATATAAAGTTTTGTAAGAGAGTTTTGGGAGTACATAGGAAGGCATCAAATATTGCTTGTAGATGTGAACTTGGTCATTTCCCACTTGTGATTGATGTTTGTACTAGTTTCAGTTTTATCAAAGGTTGTCATGTAAGAAAACAAACAACATAATTATCGAAGCTGCTTTTAAAGAAAGTAGTGGGTTTAAAATACGATCCCTGGTATAAATTTGTCCAAAAACTTCTACAAATTACAAACACGGATACTAATCAGGCAAATTTTTGCAATCTGTTTAAAGAAAGGTTAAACCAAATTTACTCAACAAATGTGGAAAGTCAGTTGAACAAAACTGGTCATAATAAACTAAATACTTATAAAACATTCAAAAATAATTATAAATTTGAAAAATACCTGGATGATATTAAAACAAAAAACACAGAGTATCATTAACAAAATTCTGTATTTCAGCCCACTTCTTGCCAATTGAAATAGAAATTGACAGGGTATGTACCAAGTGTGACTCTAATGATGTGGGCGATAAAAAACATTACTTTTTTCAATGTGAACATAACAGTTTTTCAGAACACAAGAAAAAAATCCTCTATGCACTGTTCAAATACTCTTCTGATTATCAAACCTTACCAAATGGTGAATTGTTTATTAATGTTTTCTCAAGTATAGACAAATATGTTTGTAGTATTTTACCTAATTTTATTTTTCAGATTTTAAAATTATTTTAGATTAGTTGTTTTACTTTATGTTTCTTATATTGGACTTTACTCAAGCATTGTTTTTGTGTACGTTCCAAATAAAATATCCTATCTACACACACAGCTTAGTGCAAATCATTAAAGACCATCATTATATGAAAATATACTTACCCCAAGATGGGATTAAAGGCACATTCATAGCCATGGTTGTATTCGAACTATTCGTCGATTCAGTTACAGTTCTAAAATTGTGTACTCTATCTGCTCTGTCACGCCTGTGGTCTGTCACGGCAGCACTCTACTTCCTGGTAATAAACGGATACAATCGGTGACCATTTGGCGGGTGTAGCAGACTACATCTACGATACGAATTTGATCTATGAATAATGTTTTACTTCCGAAATAACTGCATCAAGGTATACCATCAAACTGCGTGTTTATAGTAAGGAAAATCCTATTAAAACAGTAACAAGACAGCTAATGAACAAGCCAAACTCTCTTTGCGCGCATGCGTGGGACAGGAGGGGAAATCCCCACCTCCCAGCGATCTTTGCGAATGTTTGACTACCGGTAGTACGCTTTTTTTTTTAGCACAGTGTGAAGTTGGCATCGGAATCAGATTGATTTGTTTCTGAGTATTGCACGGCCTGAATTTTATTTTTGTTTCACTATATATTTTCATAATTTTGTAATTGTTTGTATTACTATTACCTATATCTTATTCAGTTTCCAGTTCTCGAATACCGAAAATCTTTAAACAAAACTACCACCAAATAAATAAATAAATAAATAAATAATAAAATAAAATAAAATAAAATAAAATAAAATAAAATAAAATAAAATAAAATAAAATAAAATAAAATAAAATAAAATAAAATAAAGTAAATGTTTAATAAAATGTATAATAAAAATAAATAATTAATCACACAATTAAAAAAAATAAAGCCCAAACTAGGATCTTATACTCAGTTTGGGTCGTGGCAACAAGTTCTGGCGTTCTGCAGATGTCAAAAATTGGTTTAATTTCAGAAGTAAAAACATCTGCTTCCGTTATACAGCAATACACTCGTTCCAATCCTTTATCATTTTCAGAACAAATAAACAGTACTAGTTTG